TCTGCTGAACACTCTAACACTTCATTTTTAAACCTACCCCATACCTCTTCGACCCCATTGCCTATGCTCTCATTAACCCATCTATCCTCCAATAACTGTTTATATCTTACCCTAACTGCCTCCTCTTTTAGTTTATAAACCTTCACCTCTCTCTTCCCTGATGCTTCTATTCTCCTTGTATCTCATCTACCTTTTATTCTCAGTGTAGCTACAACTAGAAAGTGATCTGATATATCTGTGGCCCCTCTATAAACATGTACATCCTAAAGTCTACTCAACAGTCTTTTATCTACCAATACATAATCCAACAAACTACTGTCATTTCGCCCTACATCATATCTTGTATACTTATTTATCCTCTTTTTCTTAAAATATGTATTACCTATAACTAAACCCCTTTGTATGCAAAGTTCAATCAAAGGGCTCCCATTATCATTTACACCTGGCACCCCAAACTTACCTACCACACCCTCTCTAAAAGTTTCTCCTACTTTAGCATTCAGTTAATGTATTTACTGGTAACATTTGTGAGATTTAGTGCTTTCGCTGTCCAGACCTTCAAAATTAATATTGCTCTATGTCCAATTTTTTTTCCCCTTCTGAAATGGTAGAGAATGTTTTTCTGAAGTTAATGATTTATTGGAAAGCTTACAGAATTACACAAGTCAAAGTTAGTGGTCTTGACACAGTTAATGCATCGGCGATTTCGCCCATATTGAGTCTTATTTAAAACCATTTCTATTGTTCCAAACGACCAAATTCCTGACAATTTCACCAGTACATATACCATCCATTATATTGATTAAATGCAAGAAACTGCCCATTCAGCTATTTCATTTGCCCTATAAAGTGCACAGAAGTCAGTAATTTGGCCATGATAAACAATATAGACATTCCTGGCACTAAAACATTTCCTCTGTTCATTAGTCACATCCCAGGCCTCTCCTATATTGCACTTGCCTTCCATTTTGAAATCTCATTCTCAGAAATAGAAGATTTACATTACTCTATTTCCCGAATAATAAATTATAACCAGGAAAGATTGGTCATGATTTACAGCATCCCAGTAATTGAATCAGATGTATTAATAACCCATAAAGCAGACTGAGAGTTGTAGGAGGGCCTTACCCATCCTCTGGAATATCAACAAAAATAAAATATTTCTGCTATTTTGAGTTCAATTTCAAGCTACTTCTGATCCTGAAACCAATCAGAATCATCCCTGTTTCAGTAAAATGTTTTCCATTCTATCAGATGAGACGAAGAAAGTGTCAGTAAAACATAAAAACCATCTGAGAAAACATTTCACATACAGTCAGTTTTGTTTTTCCCATCATGCACCACATGGGGGCAGGATTTTGTTTGTACTGTGCACACTCACCACACAGACTCATTCTCTCATATCTTAGGAAGAAATTTACCACTCACAGCTTATCCGAGTAAGCTGAGCTCATGACGTAAAACTGTGTCAGGGTCCCTGGTCTCAATGACATGTTCTATGTGATGGACAGTGAAAGGGTTCATAAAGGAGGTTCAGACATGGACAGTGAACAGGAAATAAAACTTTTACCATTTTGTATTTTTTTTTTTAATGCTCTGAGTGTGTTTGTTGAATTTTAGTTTGTTGTCTAGGTGTATTCTCAAGAATTTACCTTTGTACTGCCTGTCAGGAGGTGTATTTTTTAACACTGTTTAAATTATTTTTTTTTTTTTTTGCCTTGTTCCCAGACATTATATAGAAGTTCTTGTTATAATTGAGTGTGTGTTAATTGCTATCCAAGTAGATATTTTAATAAGGTTGGCATTTACTGTGTTCTTCAGTGCAGCTGGATCAGCATCTGAAATGACAAAAGTTGTTATTCACAAACAGAATTGGTTTAAGTTCCTGTGAAGCATTAGCAAGGTCATTAATAACGCAGATAAGGAATAGCAGAAGAACACTTACCTTGTGGAACCCCTATGTTGGTCGATTAGGTTACCAAAGAACAGTCATTAATGGTCACATGTTTGTGTCTGTTACTCAGGTAAAATGAGAGAGCATATCCTTTTATCCCATAATGTTCTAATATGAATAATAGAATGTTGTGACCTACTGTATCAAAGGTTTTTTTTTTTATTTTGTCAATAAAGAGGCCCATTGGATATTCATAAAATGGAATGTGTAATAGGAAGAAGGGATGTCCATTTTAGCAAAAATCCATTGTATTGAAAGTTTTTGTTACATGGATGTATGCCACTTAATCAAAAGCAAATGTAGTCTGCTTAACACTCTCACTGTCTCTTGTGTTGATCACCATTATTGGCACCAGTGTCACTTGTGTAGATCTACAATTTAAGCACATTGCTCTCAAATATACTGTGAGTGGTAAATTTTGACCTAGACATGAGAGAATGGGTCTGTGTGGTGGGTGTGCACAATATTAAAAAAAATCCTGCAATTGGTTTGGTTTAAAATAGCACATCTAGTTTTTATGCTTTTTGGGTGTTTCTTGGTATCACTCGATAGAATAGAAGACATGGCAATGAAATACAGTATAGATGATTTTGGTCAGTTTTAGACTGGAAATTGGTTTTAAAGTGATAGAAAAACTAATAAATTTTTTGTGATTTTTACGAAGAGTAGGGCTCCCCCTGGTCTGTTTTATGGGTTTTTACCAGTTCTACTTCAATTATTGGGGTTGGCTTTGACCAAGACCAGTTATTCTTGATTTTATTTTATTTTCCGAGATATGGGGGTAAAATTTTGATTTATTTTATGTATGATGGATTGAAAATGAAGGGCAAATGTTTTACAGGAGAGGCCTGGGGATGTCATTAGTGAACAGAGGTAAGGTTATTTTAGTGGCTAAAATGCCTACAGTGTTTATTTTGGACTCTGTTTTAAATTGGAATTTGTTGAATTTTGTGTAAATTGGCCAAATTATTGACTTCTATGTTCTTCATGGGGAGTGCTGATTGTTTAATAAACTCCATGAATAGAACAGAAAGTATACTTGCAAAATAGCCAGGAAATGGGCCAAATTGAGCATTGGTAATGGCTTAAAATAGGACTCAAAGTGGGCAAAATTGCCAGTGCATAAATTGTGCCCAGGCAGCCAACTTTGCACCTGCGTCATTGTGTTTTCTGTGAAATTTCGCAATTTTGATATCATTATCTTCAGAAAAAGAATCTACAATTTCAGAAAACAAAATTATTATTATTATTATTATTATTATTATTATTATTATTATTATTATTATTATTATTATTATTATTATTACAGTGGACCCCCAAGTTTTGTGATTAATCCATTCCAGAGAGCCTGCCGAAAGTCGAAATTCACGAAACTCGAAACCATTTTCCCCATAAGAAATAATGGAAATAAAATTAATCCGTTCCAGACACCCAAAAATATTAAAATAATTTTTTTTTTTTCAAATTAAATAAAGATTTATATACTGAAATCAATGAGAAATCAAGTACATGCATATAAAAAATAATAATAACATTACACTTACCTTTACTGAAGACTTCTGGGTGGATGGAAGACTGGAGGAGGGGATAGGAGGAAGGTGTACACTATTGTTTGGAAGGAGAATCTCCTTCCATTAGGACTTTACGTAGCAAGTCCTTATCTGGGGTTACTTCCCTTCTTCTTTTAATGCCACTGGGAACAACTTGAGAGTCACTGGACCCCTGTCGCACAAAATACCTGTCCAGAGAGGTCTTTTTCTGGTGTTTCTTTAAGATTTCCCTGAAGTGGGACACAACACTGTCATTGTACATGTTGCAGATATGGCTTGTTTCAGCTTGGTCAGGGTGATACTTTTCAACAAAACTTTGCAACTCATTCCACATTCCACACATGTCCTTAATCACTGAAAAAGAAACCTCCTTCACTCTCTTTTCCTCCTCCTCTGAAGCAAGTTCCTCGGCTGTGGCCTGATGCTGTTCCAGTTGAAGCTCTTGCAGTTCGTCAGTGGTTAGCTCTTCCCTGTGGTCCTCCACCAACTCTTCCACATCCCTGTCACTCACCTCCACCCTATGGACTTGCCCAATGCCACAACACCTTCCACAACAGGCAGAGGGTCGGCAGGGACAGGGTCTGCCTCAAACCCTTCAAAATCCCTTTGGATCGTGTTCCTCACTTTATTTACCAAAGGGCTTGCACTAACTTTCCTTGGGTCCATGATTTATTTAGCAGTTGCAAGCACAAAAAACAATGAATTATTATGAAATGTATTGTATGAACCCACGGGGTGATGGTCACATGTTGGTAAACAATGGCACAGAGAGCGTGCATGGCGTGGGGGACTGGCTTGGTGTGCGCGGTGACAGGCGGATGGGTACCGGACGGTCACCAAAACACGAGTCTAATCACGAAACTCGAGGCCAAATTTTGCTAAAAAAAACTTGGAGGTCGAATTTCACGAAAGTCGAGGCTGCCGAAACTCGAGGGTCCACTGTATTATTATTATTATTATTATTATTATTATTATTATTATTATTATTATTAATTATTTTTTGGAAGAGTCATGACTGTCATATAATTTTAGGTGGCTTCAACAGTGAAAGGGTTAAATTTGTGGTTCTTGACAAGTCTCCACTAAATAAATTTGAGGTCTCTATACATATGTATAGAGTGATCATACACAAAGTATGAATGCATTTGGGAAAAACTAACTTTTATAACTTATTTAGAAACTGGACTGATAAAAATATATCAGTGTGATGGGTCACCATCAGAGCAAAAAAGTGGAAATAGGTGGAGTGATTTAGAAATTGTCTCCTGTGATGCTTGTAGACTGTTTCTGCATCTTCTAATGATCTACTAAACTTAATTTCTTCAGACTTGACTTAATTTCTTCAGATCTGACTTAATTTATGCAGGTTTGACTCAATCTCTTGTTTTTCAGTGTAGATATTACCTGGAGTTTACCTGGAGATATCTGTAATGGTACAGTACCAGTTTTCACATGGTTACTATATTGTGTTAAGGTAGTGTTTGTTATACTTGCAGAATTGGACGAGGAGGAATGTGATAGACGGCGAGGGGAATATCTCACAGATCTCTCAGACTTGGAACGGCAATTTTCTTTGCTCAGAGAACAGTAAGTAAATTCTATTTAGCTAATAATCTAGTTGTAATCTTATTTCCCAGCTGTACCTGAAGGATATCTGAAGCATGGTTCTGGGGATCAATGCCTCTGTGGCCTGACCCCAAACCAGGTCTCCTGGTAGATCAAGGCCTGATCTACCAGCCTGTTACTGCTGTCTGCATCTAGCTCAATTTATACAACAGTCTGGCTAGTCAGGAACTGATTGGAGGAACTTGTTAGGTTTCCTCTTGAAGATAACCAGAGGTTTGCTGGTAACTCATCTTATCTGTGGAGGCTCCCTCCACAGATAAGATGTGTCAGGAATCTCTGACACAGTGTACTTGTCAAGTGGCTAAATATTGAAGGTATTTTACACTGCCAGATCTCTTGTCATTCAGGGTGGTTGCAGTGTGCAGGCTTGGGACTGGTCCATACAGGATTTTCCAGGTGTTTACCTGGAGAGAGTTCCGGGGGTCAACGCCTCTGCGGCCCGGTCTGTGACCAGGCCTCCTGGTGGATCGGAGCCTGATCAACCAGGCTGTTGCTGCTGGCTGCACGCAAACCAACGTACGAGCCACAGCCCGGCTGGTCAGGAACCGACTTTAGGTGCTTGTCCAGTGCCAGCTTGAAGACTGCCAGGGGTCTGTTGGTAATCCTCCTTATGTATGCTGGGAGGCAGTTGAACAGTCTCAGGCCCCTTACACTTATTGTATGGTCTCTTAACGTGCTAGTGACACCCCTGCTTTTCATTGGGGGGATGTTGCATCATCTGCCAAGTCTTTTGCTTTCGTAGTGAGTGATTTTCGTGTGCAAGTTCGGTACTAGTCCCTCTAGGATTTTCCAGGTGTATATAATCATGTATCTCTCCCGCCTGCATTCCAGGGAATACAGGTTCAGGAACCTCAAGCGCTCCCAGTAATTGAGGTGTTTTATCTCCGTTATGCGTGCCGTGAAGGTTCTCTGTACATTTTCTAGGTCAGCAATTTCACCTGCCTTGAAAGGTGCTGTTAGTGTGCAGCAATATTCCAGCCTAGATAGAACAAGTGACCTGAAGAGTGTCATCATGGGCTTGGCCTCCCTAGTTTTGAAGGTTCTCATTATCCATCCTGTCATTTTTCTAGCAGATGCGATTGATACAATGTTATGGTCCTTGAAGGTGAGATCCTCCGACATGATCACTCCCAGGTCTTTGACATTGGTGTTTCACTCTATTTTGTGGCCAGAATTTGTTTTGTACTCTGATGAAGATTTAATTTCCTCATGTTTACAATATCTGAATAATTGAAATTTCTCATCGTTGAACTTCATATTGTTTTCTGCAGCCCACTGAAAGATTTGGTTGATGTCCGCATGGAGCCTTGCAGTGTCTGCAGTGGAGGACACTGTCATGCAGATTTGGATGTCATCTGCAAAGGAAGACACAGTGCTGTGGCTGACATCCTTGTCTATGTCGGATATGAGGATGAGGAACAAGTTGGGAGCGAGTACTGTGCCTTGTGGAACGGAGCTTTTCACCGTAGCTGCCTCGGACTTTACTCTGTTGACGACTACTCTCTGTGTTCTGTTAGTGAGGAAATTATAGATCCATCGACCGACTTTTCCTGTTATTCCTTTAGCACGCATTTTGTGCGCTATTACGCCATGGTCACACTTGCCAAAGGCTTTTGCAAAGTCTGTATATATTACATCTGCATTCTTTTTGTCTTCTAGTGCATCTAGGACCTTGTCGTAGTGATCCAATAGTTGAGACAGACAGGAGCGACCTGTTCTAAACCCATGTTGCCCTGGGTTGTGTAGCTGATGGGTTTCTAGATGGGTGGTGATCTTGCTTCTTAGGACCCTTTCAAAGATTTTTATGATATGGGATGTTAGTGCTATCGGTCTGTAGTTCTTACTGCCCCCTTTGTGGTGTGGGGCTATGTCTGTTGTTTTAGTAACTGTGGGACGACCCCTGTGTCCATGCTCCCTCTACATAGGATGGAAAAGGCTCGTGATAGGGGCTTCTTTCAGTTCTTGATGAACACGGAGTTCCATGAGTCTGGCCCTGGGGCAGAGTGCATGGGCATGTCATTTATCGCCTGTTTGAAGTCATTTGGCGTCAGGATAACATCGGATAGGCTTGTGTTAACCAAACTCTGTGGCTCTCTCATAAAAAATTCATTTTGATCTTCGACTTTCAGTCTGGTTAGCGGCTTGCTGAAAACTGAGTCATATTGGGACTTGAGTAGCTCACTCATTTCCTTGCTGTCATCTGTGTAGGACCCATCTTGTTTAAGTAGGGGCCCAATACTGGACGTTGTTCTCGACTTTGATTTGGCATAAGAGAAGAAATACTTTGGGTTTCTTTCGATTTCATTTATGGCTTTTAGTTCTTCCCGCAATTCCTGACTCCTATAAGATTCCTTTAGCTTAAGTTCGATGCTTGCTATTTCTCTGACCAGTGTCTCCCTACGCATTTCAGATATATTGACCTCTTTTAGCCGCTCTGTTATTCTTTTCCATCGCCTGTAAAGGGAGCGCCTGTCTCTTTCTATTTTACATCTACTCCTCCTTTTTCTTAGAGGAATAAACCTTGTGCATACATCGAGTGCCACCAAGTTAATCTGTTCTAGGCATAAGTTGGGGTCTGTGTTGCTTAGTATATCTTCCCAGCTTATATCGGTTAGGACTTGGTTTACTTGGTCCCACTTTATGTTTTTGTTATTGAAGTTGAATTTGGTGAATGCTCCCTCGTGACTAATCTCATTATGTTGGTCTGGGGCTCTACGCATACATGTCTGAACCTCAATTATGTTTGTGACCTGAGTACAGTGGACCCTTGTATACCGTTGGCATCACATAACGTTAAATCCGCATACCGATACATTTTATCACTAAAATTTTGCCTCGCATACCGCAAAAAAACTCGCTCAACGCTATTTGTCCGAGACGCTTCTAATGTGTGGCCTGAGCCAGCTTCACATGTTCCGCCGGTGGCATTGTTTACAAGCCACCCTCCGCGGTAACATCCAAGCATACAGTCGAACATTTTGTATTATTACAGCGTTTTTGGTGATTTCATCTGCAAAATAAGTGACCATGGGCCCCAAGAAAGCCTCTAGTGCTAACCCAGTGGTAAAAAGGGTGAGAAATACTATCATACCACAGTCAGCTGTTGCTTGACCAGTCGGCTGTTGCTGGATCAGTCATCTGCTTCTGCACCACGATCAGCTGTTGTTGGACCAGTCAGCTGTTGCTGGATCAGTCAACTGTTGCTGGACCAGTCAGCTGTTGCTGGATCAGTCAGCTGTTGCTGGATCAGTCAGCTGTTGCTGGATCAGTCAGCTGTTGCTGGATCAGTCAGCTGTTGCTGGATCAGTCAGCTGTTGCTGGACCAGTCAGCTTTTGCTGGACCAGTCAGCTGTTGCTGGATCAGTCAGCTGTTGCTGGATCAGTCAGCTGTTGCTGGATCAGTCAGCTGTTGCTGGACCAGTCAGCTGTTGCTGGACCAGTCAGCTGTTGCTGACCAGTCAGCTGTTGCTGGATCAGTCAGCTGTTGCTGGATCAGTCAGCTGTTGCTGGACCAGTCAACTGTTGCTGGATCAGTCAGCTGCTGCTGCACCACGGTCAGCTGCTGTTGCACCATCAGCTGTTTCTGAACATGACTCGTCCTGAACCTGTCCCGAACCTGTCTGTCCAGCCTGAGCGCCTGCCTTGCCGTCATTGTTTACAAGCTAGGGTGGCCGGTTGCATGCATACATTCGATACATTTTGTATTATTCCATTATTTATAGTGCTTGTAACTGCTAAGTAAGCCACCATGGGCCCAAAGAAAGCTTCTAGTGCCAACCCTGTGGTAAAAAGGGTGATAAATACTATCGTACCACAGTCAGCTGCTGCTGCACCACGGTCAGCTGATAAATTGGACCAGTCAGCTGTTGCTGCACCACATCTGCTGCTGCACCACAGCTGCACCATGGTCAGCTGTTGCTGCACCATGGTCAGCTGTTGCTGCACCACAGCTGCACCATGGTCAGCTGTTGCTGCACCACAGCTGCTGCTGCACCACAGCTGCTGCTGCACCATGGTCAGCTGCACCACAGCTGTTGTTGTTGCTGCACCACCGTCAGCTGTATTACTCGAAGATGTGGAGAGAGTGTTGTTGGTGTGGCTTAACGTGAGACAATTACCGAGAAACGATTAATCCCGGAGGGTTAGCCACCCAGGATAACCCAAGAAAGCCAGTACATCATCAAGGACTCTAACCTATTTCCATTGGGGTTCTTAATCTTGTCTCCCAGGATGCAACCCACACCAGTCGACTAACACCCAGGTGAACAGGGAAAAACGCCTGGAACACAGTGTGATAAGGCCTGTTCTTGAAGAAAATGCCAAACAGGACCTACAGTACTCAGGAGGAAAAGGCACTCCCAGGACACAGTGTCTCATCAGTCATTGCTGCATCTTCAATAAAGGTAAGTGTCATTTATTCTCATTTAGTAGAGTAGTACATGCACAATATATACTGTGCATGTACTACTCTACTATTGTGCATGTATCCTTCTCTTTGTGTGTAGGAAAATGTATATTTCATGTGGCAAAAAATTTTTTTCATACTTTTGGGTGTCTTGCATGGATTAATTTGATTTCCATTATTTCTTATGGGTAAAATTCATTCTCATAACAATGAGCTCTCATGAACGGATTAATATCGTTATGCGGGGGTCCACTGTATATTGTGTTTGATATGGTGACATTTCTTATCAGATCATCATTGTTAGTGAAGATGAGGTCTAGTGTATTCTCCAGTCTAGTAGGCTCTATTATTTGCTGGTTTAAATTGAATTTTGTGCAGAGATTTAAAAGCTCGTGTGAGTGTGAGTTTTCATCAGAGCTGCCTCCTGGTGTTATTACTGCAACAATATTATTTGCTATATTCCTCCATTTTAGGTGCCTTAAGTTGAAATCCCCCAGGAGCAAGATGTTGGGTGCAGGAGCTGGAAGATTTTCCAGACAGTGGTCAATTTTTACCA